GCCAGTTGGGACATTTTTATCGAATTTTATTTTTTGGATTAACACCTTTCGTGTCCATATAAAAACCCATTTCCATGTGAATTTTACTGAAAAAAAAACAAACCTTGAATAAAGACGCAAAATATGTCATTTTTTCCGTTTTGAAGAACTCTTTAGCTATTGAAGTTACCAAACTTTGGCGATCATTGTCTTGCTAATTTCACCACTTATCTATTTCATCAGAAGCAAGGCAAATGAAACAGCTTTCATATGGTACCAATAACTCCACATTCCCAAAAATTGACGAGCGCCTGATTCCACCACGTCGTGACACATATAGTATCACTCCCCTCCCCCCTCCGCTCACTCACCTTCCCCATGGGTGGTTGGCGCCGGACGCTCTCGTATAGTTTGCTGCTTTTTTGCTTTCAAACACCTATCGTCCTAAGTCTTTCCTCCTTCCTTTCAAACACATATCGTCCTTAATCTTTCCTCCTTCCTTTCAAACACATATCGTCCTTAATCTTTCCTCCTTCCTTTCAAACACTTATCATCCTAAATCTTTCCTCCTTCCTTTCAAACACATATCGACCTAAGTCTTTCCTCCTTCCTTTCAAACACCTATCGTCCTAAACCTTTCCTCCTTCCTTTCAAACGCCTATCGTCCTTAATCTTTCCTCCTTCCTTTCAAACACATATCGTCCTAAGTCTTTCATCCTTCCTTTCAAACACCTATCGTCCTAAACCTTTCCTCCTTCCTTTCAAACGCCTATCGTCCTTAATCTTTCCTCCTTCCTTTCAAACACATATCGTCCTAAGTCTTTCATCCTTCCTTTCAAACACCTATCGTCCTAAACCTTTCCTCCTTCCTTTCAAACACCTATCGTCCTTAATCTTTCCTCCTTCCTTTCAAACACCTATCGTCCTAAATCTTTCCTCCTTCCTTTCAAACACCTATCGTCCTAAACCTTTCCTCCTTCCTTTCAAACACATATCGTCCTTAATCTTTCCTCCTTCCTTTCAAACACCTATCGTCCTAAACCTTTCCTCCTTCCTTTCAAACGCCTATCGTCCTTAATCTTTCCTCCTTCCTTTCAAACACATATCGTCCTAAGTCTTTCATCCTTCCTTTCAAACACCTATCGTCCTTAATATTTCCTCCTTCCTTTCCTTTAAATGTTACTGCCCAGTGACACCCGTTACCTTTGACACATATATGACATATTTCGTTGACAAGCTGTCAAAATTTATTATGCCCAGAAAGCAAAATTTTACAGAAGAGAGAAAAGAGACTACTGATTCTTCTTATTAACATTTGTACCGACATTATAGTTTTTCCTTCTGGGTTTTTTTTTTTAGCATTTAGAGTTTAAATTTCAACAAAATATTTCTTGAGCACACGCGACTGACATCACAGATTAAGAAACTACAATTAAACAAATATATAAATTGGGCATAGCACATTTTAACAGCCTTCCGACGATTTATGTTGTAAGTGCGTAAAACTTAATAAAAAAAACAAAACAAACCCCACAGCGTCCATCGTGCATCGTACATCTCTGAATCCCACCCCGTCCCCCCCAACAACAAAGCAAAACAAAAACAAACAAAAATTAAAAATACATAAATTAATAACTTAATTAATTAAAAAATATATGCAATAAATAAATGAAATAAAACACACTCACATACACACACAGACATTCACACAAATATATACATAACCCCCCACCCCCCCACCCCCACCCCCACACACACCTACACACCAAACCACAGCCCCCCTACCCCCCCCCCCTCACTCACACCCAAACACAAACAAAAACACGCTTACAAAAAAAAAATCTCCCAACAACCTCTTCTTCCACTCGTCTTGACCTCTGAACTCTGAACAACCTCTTCTTCCACAGACACGATATCAACAGACCCTCCCACTGTGAACGTCCAGCCGGCCACGCCCCAACACTCGTCCCTTACGGCCGCGGCTCTCTCCAGTCATGACGTGGCCGGTGCCAGCACCGAGGCAGCTCGAGGTCTCTATTCCAGGGACACGGATGGTAAGTTCCAGCATCAAAACTTTACACTAGTGCTGGGCGGCTAGATTCTTGATTATTGAAAGCTAGGAATCGTAGGACTCGACTCCGAACCCAATTACTTACTTTCTAAAGATGTAATTTCTTCCGATGGTTACCTGGTTGGCTTCAAACATCTTCAGGATTTAGGGTAACCCTGATTTCGGAACACTACGAAGCATCAACTTTTATTTTTCAAAAATGTATTTTAAATAAAAGAAGATTTTTATGATTAAAGTAACTGGTAACCGCTGGTTTACGTAAAGAGGAGTTGAAACTTTTCTTCCGTGGGAATCGGTTCCGGAATCGATCCTTTGCCCAGCTCTACTTTACACTATGTACATGTATTTAATTAAGAGCGGTACCTATTTGTAGGAGATTTTCGTTTCTGACCTCATGGTCTTAGTAACCCAAAACAGCCAAAATTTTAGAAAGAAATTTGTAATTCTAAGGTAGCGTATCGTCTGTCAGTCTATCTGTCTGTCTGTCTGTCTGTCTGTCTGTCTGTCTGTCTGTCTGTCTGTCTGTCTGTCTGTCTGTCTGTCTGTCTGTCTGTCTGTCTGTCCTTCTCCCTCTCTTTCTCTTGCTCTCTATTTCTCC